TTTCTTTCTTTCTTTCTTTCTTTCTTTTTGTGGAACTAGGGATTGAACTCAGGACCTGGCGCTTTCGAGGCAAGTGCTTAATCTACTGAGTTATCTCCCCAGGCCCTTTAAATTAATTCTATAAAGCCATTTCTAAAAGTTTCAGCTACATCACCAAAATTATAAGGCAAAAAATAGTTAATGGTCTCAGCTTTTCCCTTTTCTTCTTGAGGTAAGGTCCTGTGTAGCTCAGACTGGTTGGGGCCTCACTGTGTAGCCCTTGCTGGTCCTGAGCTCCGGAACCTCCTGCCCCAGTCTCCTAAATCATGCTGAAATTACATGTGCGCACCACCTTGCCCTGACTTTTCACCAATGACTTCATCAAGCAAGATGAAGCTTCTTACGCGAGCAGGACCAGGCAGGGGTGCTGCACACCCACCTACTTCCTTCCCCGAGCCCGGGTCCGAGCGGTGTACCTGTATGGGACCGCCTGTGCAGCTCCAGGTTGCTCGGGTGTTTGAAAGGCTTCCCGCACAATTCGCACGCGTACTGCCTCTGCGGGTGCAGGCTCTGGGACTGCTCCTCCAGAGTGGCTGGCGCTTCGGGCACCTCCACTTCCCTGGTGCCACAGTGAAATGGCTCGGAGCTAAGGTCCTCGCTTTCCTTGGTGTCTGCACTGTGGCTGCCGGTGTCCTCCCTTGTATTTTCAGCAGCAGATCCTGTCCCCTTGGTTAGGCCATCATCTGATCTGGGTGCAGATGCCTGCTCTGCCGATTTCTGCGACTTTAGAAAGTTGAGTTTCTTTAGGTGAACAGCCTTTTTGAGTCGCATCTGCTTGGCTGGCTGTTGGCAGGGTGTGTCTGCCTCGGGGTCAGGGGCAGAGTCGCTCAGTGGTGGGGCCAGAAAGGCCGAGGGCAGGTGCTCTGAGGACTCCAGGAGGCACTCGGAGTGGCTGACAGTGCATGACTGGGTCTCCACCACATTGATGTCTGTGGAGGAAGTGAAAGCAAAGGGCTGCTCAGCCACTCGTTCGTGGCCAGGACACGCAGCCTGCTTGTAGTACTGCTTGCTGTAGAAGTCCCGGAGCTTGTAGTAGTAACTGGGCTGCTTGCTGGGTAGCTCGGTGCAGCTGCCGTCCAGGGCATCAGAGGCCTGTTTGGATATCTCACCCATGGGATGATGGAGACCAATGGGCAGAGTGGGGACGTGCGCTTCTTCCACAGCCTTGTCATGCTGGGCCTCTGCTGGGCACTCGGGCAGGAGGGGTGGCGGGTAGTTTTCATTCAGAACACAGGTGGTATCAGGGGCCAGAGTGCCCTGCACAGAGAAGGCACTACTGCAGGCCAGGCCGGGTGGCTGCTCTGCAGAGGCCGATTTCAGGAACGTGTGACACAGGTTGAGGACGTTCTGTACCTGTAGACACTGGGCTGTGTCCAGCATGACCTGTATATTGTCCTGGGTAAGGTCGAGGTGCGAGGTGTACATGAAGTCGAGGATCTGCCCTATGCCGCTGACATTCTTCACATCCAGGTGGAAAACATCATTTTTCTGGCTTGAGGAGTTCTGGAAGAGGCTCCTGACGGAAGACAGAAGAGCTGTTCACACTGTTAGCCATGCACACCTCTTGTGGCTAGCACTCATACGGTAATATTTAAAAATGCCATTGCAGAAAGGTCCTAACTCCTATGTTCGTTCATTCTGTCTCTTTCTCCCCTTCTCCCTCTCCCTTGCTCTCCTCCTCCTCCCTCTCCCTTGCTCTCCCCCATCTCCCTCTCCCTTGATCTTCCCACTCTCCCTCCCTCCCTCCCTCCTGTTTTTCTTTGTACAAGGTCCCACTACACAGCTCGGACTCATAGAGGTGATCCTGTTTTCAGCCTCCGCAGAGTTGGGATTACAGGCGTGCGCCACCTCGCCTGGACTTGGTGGCCAGCTCAGAGTGTCTGGGGGCAGGGCCAGTGCAACATGCGGTACTGGGAATTGAACCCTGGTTCCTGCACTTGCCTAAGCAGGTGCTTAGACTGCTGAGCTATCCTGCTGGCCTTGACTGCTATGGTTTTTGAACTGGGGTTTGAACCCAGGGCCTTTGCACTGAGCTACATCCTCAGCTCTGTGAATTTTGAGGCAGGGTCTTGCTAAATTGCCCAGGCCAGGCTTGAGCTTGAGACACCTTTGCTTCCAGGCTGCTAGGACTACAGGTGGGCACCACTGCGCCTGGTTTACTGTAAGCATGTTTTAATCCTGCAAACCAGTTTGCCACACCACCCAATGAAGCAATTCAAATGAAGTAGTGTTTTGGGTATTCACCTTTAAAAATAGATATCAAATATCTGAAATAGACTTGCTGATAAACCACAAGTCAAGATCTAAAACCTACTCTAAACATATGCTTAACATCTATGATTATTCTAAATATTTTTCTAAACACGTTCCTCTAGAATAAATTTTCATTTAGTATTTTATATTTAGTGTGACAAGTGATACACTACAGGCCATATAACATATACAAAAATATTTTCATGCCTAAATGCCTCAATAGCTCTAAAAATAAAAGTTGCTATTTTAAAGTAACCTCCAGTATATGGTTACTTTGTAACTAGTAATTTAACTGGCTGGTAGGATTTTGGGTAACTCGGTGTTCAGATAATAAACATCTCATGAGTTCATGCAGGAGAGAAGGGACAGAGAAGCTCCGATGTGTGGTTCTGGGCACAGTCCAGCCTGCAGGTGGATGAGTCCGAGCTGTGTGTGACACTAAGGCTGAGTTGGGGAGAATGGCTCAGGGAGGGAGTCACCAAACACATTCACCTGCTTTCCCCCACAGGCTTTGAGCCTGCCCTGCTCTCAGCTCACAGCAGCGAGACCCAAGTATCCCCAGAAGGGAGAAGAAACAGGTGCCCACCATGCCCAGGCCCGGACTGCTCCACACAGGGACTGAAAGTGCCCTCTCTGGGCATGGCGGACTTGTCACAAGGGTGTACAGCGTGGACAGGAACTGAGACTCTGCTTCAGGGCTCCGGATGAGCAGGGGAAAGTGAGTCATGTTCCACACACTGTTCACCAGAGCAACAAAACAGTGTGTGCTGGGAAACTAAAGCGCTTCTAACAAGGGGATGGGGTTTCTGTTTGTTTGTTTAATAACATATAGAATATTTAACCATAATAATGTTAAGTATAGTAAAACACAGCTGCTCAGAATTATTTGCTATTTGTAAATGAATCTTTCATATAAGCAAAAAGGATTACAGGGATAGTGTAAGTTAATAAACTATACTTTTTTTAGAACATTCAAATGGAAAACAAAAATTAAAATGCTTGAACTAAAAGAAAGGTAAGAGCCAGGTGTGGTGACACATGCCTGTAACCCCAGTATTTGGTAAGCTGAGGCAGGAGAAGTTCAAGGCCAGCCTGGACTACATGGCGAGACCCTGTCTCAAGGAAAAAACAATGAAGACAACAGCATGGAGGATGTTTTTCCCCGTTCTTGAGTCACAGAAAAAGTACTACTACAAATTCAGTTCTTCAATCAATTATTTCCTGAAAGGAAAAGAAATATAGAAAGAAGACTAAAATTAATTACAAGTGCTAATTACTGCTAATTAGAAATGTTAAAGTGAAAGACAAGTGCCAAAATACTTTCAAATATCTCAAGGGTATTTTAGTTAAGAGCTCTTCTCCTTGCAGGTTACACAAAAAGAGTAGCAGTATAACCACATTAGACTAAAACTCAGGGTGAAATAAAAAGCCCATAAGCCTGCACATGCCGTGAGGACAGAACCCAAGAAGGGAACGGACGGAGTGGGAGCTACGCACCTGAAGTAGTGGCTGAAGGCGGCCAGCACGTTCTTGTGCGCTTTGAAGCAGACGCCGTGCACCACCAGCATGCAGTCACACAGCAGGCCCTGGATCCGCTGCTCGTGCAGCTGCTGGAGGAGGTGGCAGCTGTGCGTGGCAACCGGGTCCATGCTACACGAGGAGACCTGCAGCAGAGAGGGCAGCAAGCTCGTCGTGCGATCGGGGCAGGACAGCACCGTGCCCTGGGTCACAATGTGTGTGTACGCGTACATGCGCATACACACACATACACACCCCTCTGTTCAGCGGACCTAGGCAGCGATGTGCACAGAACTACCTGCAAGGGGACATGCTCGCTGCTCCCTGTTCTGTGCATAGCTGCGGCCATGCGTGACGTCTGGGCCTGCGGACGTGGAGAGGAACTGGAGTACTGCGTGGCCACTGCATCGGGTAGTGCAGTCTAGGATGTGCCCAGGAGGTTGTAATGATACTACACACACACTCTGCTATGTCTACTTAGGGATACAGCACATTAAAAAATAAAATTAAAAATACATACATACATATATATATAACATATATATATATATATGTTATATATATATATATATATATATATATATAGACACACGTAAGGTTTTTAAAAAGCCAACCAGTTAAGATCAACCCACATTTATAACCACCCACACGTGGGTCAGTGAACCTGAAGGTGGGGACATGGGGAACTGATGCTGGGCTGAAGTGCACCAAGGCCCGCCACAAGGCGGTGACACCTGGCACTGCCTGGCAGCGCGTCTTCCACACCCGCCCTGCACCACTGACGGAGCCAACAGCACAGACTAGGAGGGAGGGAGGGAGGGAGGGAGGAGGTGCACAGGCTGGAGGCAGACAGGCGCAGACATCGATGCCTGAGACCCTAATGAGCTGCAGTGGCTGCGTGGTGAGAGGAGGTGGCCCGCTTGAGGGGACTGGGATGGCCACCACGCCCATGCAGCCACCTGACTGGGTCTGCCAGAGATGAAGCCGCGATGTGAACACAGAAAATGTGCTCACTGGACGTTTCCACTGAGTGGCTACACAAGCTAGGTTCTAGGTAGGCAACAATGAACAGAACACAGCAGGTCGCCACTGTCACGAAGCTGAAGTTCTAGGGAAGAAAAGGAAACAAAGTACCCAGCACACAACTGATCAAGTAGTTGCAGCCACTACACACTGGGACACACAGCTGGGGAAGACGCGGCCTCGCATGGATAGCAGCTCAGACCAGCAGGGAGGATTTATGGGACCGAAGCAGTGGAAAGAAACAATCGGACTGGGCAAGACTGCAGGGATTAAAATCGCAGTCGTGCACATTGTAAATGTTCCAAGCATCACCGGTTTTCTCCGGTTCCACTTTCAGTGCAGAAGCATTGCTGGACGTCCCCGCACCACACAGCCCAAATCCTGGCTGAGGAGGCCCTGCTTCTCCCTGCTGCATCACTCCTGCAGGAGCAGCCCAGTGACCCTCCTGGTGCGCAGGCACGCTTGCCCTGGGATTGCTTGGAGCCTCAGCTGCACTGAGTGTTCGCTACAGGACTCTGGGCTGGCGACTTCTGTGTCCTGCTGTCCCCACCCTCTTTCACAGGTTACTGCAACACTAGGAAGATGTTTAGAACAGACTCTGGTTTGTGTGAATTAGCCGGAAACAGAATCTCCAAGGATCAGAGAGCCTGTTAAGGGTGCATGTTGCTCCCTGCCATTCCTGCGCCCTCCTGCTGCTCTGTGTCACTTACATCTGGGAACCGGCAGTGCTGTGTTCAAACCTGAACCTCCCACCTTCCAGGTCAGGCTCTCAGGGCACCTACTTCCTGCTTCCTTTTTTTCTAGTGATTCAGGTCTGGACCTAGCCAGAAAGGAGCATGATGTGACTGGCAGCAGTCACCTTCCCCTCCCTTTCCTGGGTCCTCTCAAGTGTGGGCTGGAGTGACACTATCTTTTTACCACTGTTTGCTTCCACAGCCAACCTAGGCTGTGATGGCAGAGCCAGGTTGTTCCCATACTGCTCTGGGGCTGCTGCTGCCTCTGAAGAGAAGCAGGAAACCAAGCACTATAAGGCCAAGACAGGAGGACAGACTGGGCCTACTGCTGTCCCCACAATTCTTAGCCCCCAAGAACTAGAGTCCTTACAGGTAGCGGCACTCACACTTTCAGCCACAGCTTTCCTGCAGAGGCGAAGCAGCTGTTGATCCAGTGGCTGCTGCTCCCAGATCTGTGCAAGGCTGCAAGGTCACTGCAGCTGTCCTAGCCACCCCCAGCCACTCTAAGAGATACCTGGCTTGGTGGCAGAATGCTTGAGACTTGGGCCTATCCCAGATGACCCTGCCCTGTGGCCACTCCTGATGACTCTGCCCCTGCTGCCATTACTATGAAGCACCCCAGCTGGGCCACAAAAAATACGAAATTGGGCGTGCAGGTTCTGCTCCACATAAGTTGAGTTTGCTCACCCCTTCCCCAGGCTCCATGCTGCAGCACACGTCCCAGCAAAGCCTTGCTTGTCCTGCCAACCTCCTGGCGACGCTCACTATGGGCATTACAGGCCGAGGTTGCATGCTCTGGTCACACTCTGCTAGTGTCTGACTGGACAGACAGCAGAGATGAGTGGCAGAAATCAGCTGCAGCAGCAAACAGCAGCCACTAGTGGCATTTGGTGACAACTGGCAGTGACCAGCAGAAAACCCATGAAGCGGTGGAAGTCAGAGTGCTGCCAGTGGGGCTGTGAGCTTTGACTGCTGAGAGGTGGCTGGAGATGCTGAGCCTGGCGCTGAAAGGGTCAAGGCCACTGGCGCACAGAGCCACACAGGGAGCTGCACTCTGCACTCTCATAATTCCCAGCTGAATTGAGCAGAACCCTCAGCTGCCCAGTGAGATCTTCTCAAGCCTCAGGGGCCCTCTGGGGTCACTCTGCTGCAGTCTCACAGCACTTCCGTAAGATAACTTAGCTGAGCGTCATCTGTGTCTAGTGCTCCACCGTGACCATCTCATTCACCTCTGCCTGGCACAAGTGCATCCTTCACAGTGAACTCCAGCTCGCAAACCTCTGCTGTCAAACGGGTGCTGAGCCACCATTTTTTTTGGTACCAGGACTCCAACTTGGGGCCTTGTGCCACTGCGCTACATCCCCAGCTCCATAATGCTTTATTCACACATTGTACTTCCTCTCTACCCCACAGGGTACTGTTCTAAATCCTCCACTCTTTCTTCATTCCCACGTGTGTCTTCTGCACCCCTAGCCATGACTATATAACTCTGACCTTGCGAACACGGGTGAGCCCACGTGGACCTTGATGTAGGCTGAGTGCCTTTTGCTCTCCTCTTCCTCCCTTTGGGCCTCCCAGGAAGCAGGGCACCTGTGATTCATCCCCCCCTTTTGACTGTTCCATCGTACCCCCTTCCACTTCCTTCCCTCTGTCCTGTAAGCACTCCAGGATGACCCACACAGAACGCAAAACCGCAACAGCAAAGCCTGTCTGTTCACCATGGGCCTCTTCACAGTACTCCAAATGGACAGCGACACTCTCCACCTCACTTACTACAGCTCCTCTTCCCCTGGGCCCTCCCTGCTGACAGGTATCCCCCAACACCTCCCTGCAGGCCTCTTCCTCGCCAGCTGCCCCATGCACCCATGCTGCCCCAAGTGCTCCTTCCCATGACTCTCCTCTCCCACATCCCTGACCTATCTGCCTCTAGGCTGTGCCTCTCCAGCAGGGCCCTGCACCTGTTCCTGCTCCTTAGGGTGTGAGCCTCAGCCCCTCAGGCTGTAAAACTTCTTTCCCTTAAATTTTGGCTCTCACCTGTTACATGCAGCCATCTCTTACATTTGCAGCTGGCTTCTGACACCAGTGTCAAATCTCCAGCTCTGCGGAAGGTCTCTAAGGTATAAGCCCTCAAATTAAAGCCCCGAGGGCCACCCCTCATGATCTCAGCCCTCAGCCCAGTCTCCTGTTTCTTTATGGAGAGCTTTATTCCTGATGTGCAGGGGTCTGAGTAGGGTGGAACTCAGAGCAGACTGGGGCTACAGAAACAGCACAGGACAAGGGCCAGGGTGCATGACAGCCCCAAACAAGGGCCCAGGAAGGCAGCACACTGACAGTGCTGAGCCACCAAATATGCAAGCAGCCACCTAGCCCAACCACACAGGGAACGGAAAGGAAAGGACTTCTTGGTTTATTGTTATTAGCTGTCACTCACTGTCTACTTACTGCAGGCCTGGCTAAGCGTATGGTATCAATGAACGCCAGCGACTCCATCAGAACTCAAGTGTCATCATTTAGAAGGGAAGAAACTGAGACATGGGCAGCTTAAGTAACTTGCTAAGGATTCTAAAACTGCTGTGTACCAAAGCCAGGATCTGGATCCTGACTCCCGTACCTGGAGCTCAGGGCATGTATGTATGTATGGAGCACGGGGTCTCGCTACGCAGCTCAGACCATAGTGATCCTCCTGCCTCCCCAGCGCTGGCATTACAGGCATGTGCTGCCATGCACAGTCTTGGAGTTCAGGTTCTTATGCTGCACTTTCTCCCATGGGAAAAAAAGACACTACATAGTAAACCATGAGCCCTCCTCCACAGACATAAACGTTCAAACGCAGCAAATATCCTGGATCTACGTCAGACATTTTCTACTTCTGGAGAAATGATCTAGGAAGAAAATCTCTGGAAAAAGCCCCATATGGTGACAGGCATTTATGGACTGCTCCACAATTTACTATAAAAATTCTAACTCTTGTTTATTATTATTTTTTTTAAACCATACAACCTTTTTATTGTTAAGTCATAAAGAGGTATCAAAATTAAAAAGCAAAAATTACAGAAGACGACTTAACAAAACTACTAGGAACATCAAAGGAAGTGAAAATGGTACTAGGCGCAGGGCAATTATGAACATGGTAGGACACGGAGAACAGTGAGCATGTGCTGAAGATACTAGGGGAGAAGATCTGGTGAAATTTTGATCTTAGACAAGTGCCTAGATAAAGAAATAATGCGACAAGACTTCTAAACCAAACTATGTGCTTAAGAGTCATCCTCTCCTTCCTCAGCCTCTTTTTTA